CCAGTGGTCGATGTGACTGCAGTGGCATGTGTTCCACTCATTATCTAAAAGGAGCATGGAATTTTAGTTTCTTGTGGAGAGAAACGAGAAGAAGAATAAGCGAACAAGAAGCATATATAGATCATGTTTGGCACAAGGGATAATGTTAGCAACCCCAACTGGATTGCTCTCAAATACTTGATTCCCGTAGCAGAGAACCGGGTACAGGAGACTTAGAAGAAGATAAACAGTAGAACTAGTAAAGGGTAAATGTCCTGTTCGCTTGGATGATAAGTCATGGCTGAAAATATTGTTGGCTGATTTGTTGTGAGAGAAAAATACTATTCGTTGGCTGAAAAAGTATGGCTTATAAGCCAAACAAACAGGACGAAAGATACTCCGTTGATTGATATTTTGGTTGATCCTTCACTTGTCCTCCTCTGTTCCTTTTAAGTAGCGAGCGCCCCTCGCTGCCCTGACAGAGTCTTGATTAGGGGCAAGACCCAAGAGGTGATCACTCTAGCAGCCTTTCAGCAGGAGTAGCCTTCTCCTTTAGAATTTCAACTAGGGCCTTGTTTAGATTGAAAAAAATTTCAACCCGATGAATAGTAGCACTTTCGTCTTATTTGGTAAATATTGTCCAATCGTAGACCAACTAAGCTCAAAAGATTCATCTCGTGATTTCCAACTAAACTGTGTAATTAGTTTTTTTTTTACCTACATTTAATGCTCTATGTAAACGGCTAAAAATTGATGTGATGGAGAGAGAGTGAAAAAACTTGGAATTTTGAGGGTATCTAAACAAGGCCTAGCTAGCTTATGGATTCCTAGTTGACTGACTAGTGTTTGGTGAAAGCCCTGCCTGCAGGGGAGAAGCTAGCAAAGCCTGGAAAATGGAAACACTTGCTTGCATTGCATCCCACCATTACAGAAAGTACTACATACACACAGGCACACTAACGATTAGAGGCCTGCGAGCAAAAGATTGAGCTGAACTAAACTTTCGCTGGTTTCCACTGACAGGCCCATCCACAAATGCAAAGTTTGTAGCTGCTCGCAGTATGTTCGTCATTACTTAGCTATTGCAATTATTTTTTTACATTCTGCCAGTCATTAGTATATCGAACTACTCTTCGCTTCAGCATGTAGCGGAGGGCGTGATGACAAACATGTCATCACGTGGTTGGTGGTGGGGGCTGGCTGGTCTGTTGTTTAACAGTGGTCACCAAGTAAAATAATTTCATTAAACTCATGATGTCACTGTAACCACGAGATATTTTGATGAAGGTTAGAGAGGTGCTTCCATTTTTTTTCTAGAACATTTCTACTTGTGGCACGTAGTAGTATTTTTCTATTCTAGGAAAAAACCTTACACGTGCGGTCGTCGGGAAGGATCATTGGTCGCAATGGCCCAACAAGAAGCGGCCCAATAGTATCCAGATGCTTCTGTAACTTGACACTGACAGCATAGCTTCATAACTAACCACTAACTGGGCCAGGCTATTATAGCACACAAATGACAAATGGCCCCGTTATCCCACCTAAGCAAAATGATCCCGTTGTATTGGGCTAGATCGATTTGGCACGGCCGGCACAAGAAATAGGACCTAACCCAACATTGGCAAATGTTCAGTTCATTCACTGTAGTTTTACTTGCATTTTTTAGATAATGGAAAACACAGTCTGGACTCAGCGTCCATTTTATTTTAGACAAAGAAAAAATGGCTTAAACGTGTAAATAAGATAATTAGATCACTTATTAATTACATTTAACCAAACATAAAACATAGTCCAACTCTAAACTCGATTCTACTCCACCTATTCCAAATTATAAGGCGTTTTAACTTCTTTAGATATATTGTTTTTATTATGCATCTAGACATAGTGTATATTTAAATGCATAGCAAAAGTTACATATCTAGAAAAATCAAAACGTCTTATAGTTTGGAACCGAGGAAGTAGCATTATTGGGTCACTCAAATGAAGCAAAGAAATACACCACGACTGCTTCTAGCGCTCAGCAAACTTAGAAAACGTGCTCCTTGTTATCTTCACACCGTTGTAGTTGTGCCCCAGTAATGTCTTAACCAGTGTGTTACACTAGAAAAAACCTGCAAAAAAGTTTTATGTTGATATTTATCATAAAACACTTCATTTCTTATAAAATATAGACAAAACCTGCAAAAAATGTTTTATGTTGATATTTATCATAAAACACTTCATTTCTTATAAAATATAAGTGTCCAACAAATAACGACACCTCCTATTAACAAAAACGCATTATACATTCCTCTCTGTGTTGTACTGCCATAGAAAAAGTCAGCGACATCCGTGGGATGGTTTCAATCTAAAACAAGGTATACTGCACACCAAATGAACTTAGCATATGAGCAATAAAAAGAGGATGCACCTAATTGTTTCGTCTCTACAACAAAAAAACACTAACTTGTTTCCATTGGAGACATTAAAATTCACCTGCAAAAGCTTATTGTCCTACCATGAGGCTCCAACGAGATGAAAAGGACATTGGAGACATTAATTTATATTTTTAGTCAAAGTTAGTGCAAAAGCTTTGGAGACATTAGTTAAAAATGCTTTTGAGATGCGAAAAGGACACTCAACGGACGGAGTATATGGCCATGCTACCGAAGAAGAGACTTGTATCCGCACGTGGCCAGCGCATTGTTTACCAATTGTTGTGCCGTATATGGGCCTCCCGTGACAGAAAAAGGCCAGAGTCTCAGGGGATCAAAGAAGCGCACGCACTGCAGCAGAGCCCACGTGCTCTCCACCTGATCTGATGCTCAGCATGTGCTCGCTCGAGCATGGAGGCACGGCCGAACCTGGCCGCGGAAATGCGCAAGGTTCGTTCGCGACTCGCTCATAGCGGGGTGGTGCAGTGCGCAAGGACGGTACACGGGTACAGCAGCACTGCGGAATTTTTTCTTCTTTAAACACTGTGTTTTTTCCTGTAAAATTAAACTGATCTCGTTATTTATTACACGGTTCCCAGGAAATTTATGCGTTTCCACGTCTTCCTTTTCGGATCATCACCCTGTTCACTTTATCTGTCGTTTATAAACTGACTAATGTTGTTTTATTGTAAAAAAAAAATACTATAATAAAGCGAACGTGGTGCGTTTTGTTTGCGCGTGCATGTATGCTGACATGCTCCAGCAGATACGACGGACCAGCGTCGTCGGCAGCTAGGGCTGTTTAGTTTCAAAAAATTTTGCGCAGTATCCATCACATCGAATCTTACGACACATGTATGGAGTATTAGATGTAGACGAAAAAAAAATAATTACACAGTTGGGTGAAAAATCACGAGACGAAACTTTCAAACCTAATTAGTTCATAATTAGACACTAATTACCAAATACAAACGAAAGTGCTACAGTGACGAAAAAAAATTGCATCTAAACGCGGCCTTACACTACCTAGGCAGGGACGCCGAATCGAAATCGAAATCGAAATCGAGAAGGACGAATCGCGTGCGGACGCCAGCAACGACGGACGGACGCACGGACGGCCGGGGTTGGTTGCGGTTGCGGCGGCGATTGCATCGCCACGGTAGCGATCCGATCCGTGTCGAACTCGCGCGGCAATTGCAGTCTGAGAAGCCACACCTTCGAATTCGAATTCGAATTCGAGACGAGAAGGTCGTCGGCGTCGGCGTCGAGTGTTGCGTGCCGGCACTAACAAGCATCTCTGATCTGTTACCACCATTGTGTTGCCAGTGGCCTGCCACCGCAGAGGATCCTCGCGCGGGCACCATCTCATCATCGCCTTCGTCATCAGTGATGATTCAGTGGTCACAGCATCAGCATCAGTGGAAGAATCGTGTGAGCACACTTCCACTTCTGCGAATTAATTAACCTAAAAATCATAGGATCACCACTTATTAGTTTCAGACAGGACTTAGTATTTCCTTCTTTTTTTTTTTGAAGCACGGGTTCGCCGCTCGCAATCAGCCGGCAGCCGTGCCCACACGTCAGAGACGAAGACGCCGCCGCACCCGCACGCACCTGCAGGTTGCCGATGCCGCCCCTGCAGGTTGATGATGATGGGGCTACGCGCACTTCAACGCGCCGTGCTGACGCGGCGTCGGCGCGGCGCTGACGCACAGGCCCCACCACACCGCTTTATAAGTAACCAGCCAACTCGAGCTGGCTCGAGCTATAGAGGCAGCTCAGCTCGGCTCGCTATCGAGCTTGAACTTACTCGTTTAGCTCGCGAGCTAAAAAAAAAATATAATACATATGTTTATAATGTTTATATTATATTAATTTTAGAATGTGACGTCTATTATTATGTAACCATACATGATTAATATATATCATGTTCATCAAAAGTATCAACCATGCAACATAGCTGGTCTATCCATGATCATATAGTTCCAGCATACTAACTAATTATTTGCCACCATAAATTTAGAAAAGTCTATAAATTCAATATCAGCATCATCTTCTCCTTAAAAAATAATCCATAAAATTAATATTTAAGTGCCACAATAATTATAAAATTAAAATTCATATAAAACAGCTAAAAATAATAATTATATACTAATAGAATAGATATACACTTCTATATCATCATCATCATCTTCTAAATTAATAGTCGTAAACTAATAAACCTCATCTCATGAATAACTTATGAGCTAGCTCGTTAAAATAACGAGCTAGACATTCTTAAGGTCGTGAAATAGTCGAGCCGAGCAAAGCCGGCACGAGTATATATTGTCCAGCCCTACGCGCTGCCCATCCCGGCCTCTCCCCCCGTCTCTTCTTTACTCCATCCCGCAGTTGTACTGCGCCGGAAGCAGCACACACGCAGAGGCGGCAGCAGTGGACGCCGACCAACCCTACCCTAGCCTAACTTAGCCCCGGGTGCCGGCGCGGCGAGGTGAGTGGTTCAGTTCACTTCGACTGGTGGCGTCCGCGTATCGGATTGCGCGATTCCCGCTCACTTCCTTTTTTTATCGGGGTGGATTTTGGCAGGTTCGTTGGCGGTTGGATTCGATGGCGGTGGCGTCGCGGCTGGCGGTCGCGCGGGTGTCGCCGGACGGCGCTCGCCCCGCGGCGGCAGGGAGGGGGAGGACGAGGGGCCTCGCGGTGGTTCGGCTCCCGCCGGCCGCCATGACAGGGAGGAGGAGGCGCGGCGGGGCCGTCGCGGCCAGTCCCCCCACGGAGGAGGCCGTGCAGATGACGGAGCCGCTCACCAAGGAGGACCTCGTCGCCTACCTCGTCTCCGGGTGCAAGCCCAAGGAGAATTGGAGGTCAGAAGCTTTCCAGATGCTCTCTTTTCTTACGGAGTATTTTATTTTATTTTGGTTCCTCTAGTAGTGGCAGTGGTGGAATGTTTGACGTGGACGCGTAATTCTTTTGGTTGTTTGATACGTATATGTGATATGATGCGTTCTTATAGCCAACAACGCTGTCTAGCTCTAAAATTGAGGTTGCTTTCAATTGCTCCCGGGAGTGCCAAACGTTTGAGATGGATTAGTAATGCCGTGTGCCTTGTAATGATGAGCCGTGATCCAGCTCTAGTGCGTACTGCGTGCTAGGATGAATTCATTAGTGTGATGATCACTTGGCCACCATTTCATCTTGTAATTGTGTTCAAGTTATTTGAGTACCAACAATTTGGTCTCGTATTTATTGAATCTGTCTTTATATTTTCTTTTTTAAAAAGGAAAATATATTTTGAGCATCGACAGTTTGATCTGGTATTTATTGAAGCTGTCCCTGTATTTTCTTTTTTTTAAAAAGGAAAATATATTCAGTTGGCTGTTCATTTTATCCCCAAAGTTAACGTCTGTCCTTTACAGAATTGGCACGGAGCATGAAAAGTTTGGTTTCGAAGTCGACACATTACGCCCTATAAAATACGATCAGATTCGCGACATACTGAACGGGCTCGCTGAGAGATTTGATTGGGACAAGATAATGGAAGGAGACAATGTTATTGGCCTCAAGCAGGTACTGTTCCATTTGCTCCTTCCCTTTTGCATGAATATAATGTGGCTGCTATATATCATCCACCAACAATTGAAATTGGATGGAAAGGGTGTTATCATCCACCAACAATTGAAATTGGATGGAAAGGGCATTGCCCATCATTTCGACGGGTCACTCTCATTCATATGCTTTAGTTGACACAGCTTAACAGAAGGTTGTCCAGGTTTTTCTGAGGCTCTAGTTTATCTTTGTAACCTGTCTGATTTGATTTGTATGGGATGTAGGGAAAGCAAAGCATCTCACTAGAACCTGGAGGCCAATTTGAACTTAGTGGTGCTCCTCTCGAAACATTACATCAAACTTGTGCTGAGCTCAATTCACATCTTTATCAGGTAATTTCTCTTACTGACATTGCATTCCTTGTAGAGCATCTTATGGAAACTATGATCTTAGCTAGTCTGTGTTTCTGTTTGACATTATATAACACTGACCATTCTTTTGCCAGAGATTATACAATAGCAAACTTGTATTGCAAACCAAATGTTAACTGACACCCCTGCCTGCTTACCATGATAATTCTGTTGAGAACTATACCTTTAACTCGAGCATCTTATTGGAGTTTATTTTGTAGTTTTCTTAACACGCTGAGTCGCTGACTAGGGTCTCATGGGAAAATGTTCAAATGCATGGCACCACATTTTATTGTTTCTGCAAGACTCATGCATTTCAGTGCAATTAGGGTATGACCTCAAAGTTTGCCTGTTCTTGAAGGTCAAAGCAGTTGGAGAGGAAATGGGAATAGGATTTCTTGGGCTTGGCTTTCAGCCGAAATGGGCACTGAGTGATATACCAATAATGCCAAAGGTAATTCTGTCCTTTAGCCTTGTAAACTTTTTTTTTTAACTTTGTTTTTGTTCCTGGACTGTTAACTACTGCTCGCTAGTCACCTCAACCCATCATACTTGTTATGACTTTTAAGCACAGTATTCTTGATACTAAAATAGTTACATAAGATGCTATCACTAGAAATGCTGTCTTCTGGTACATTTCCCATTGCTGACACAACAATATAGACTTGCTAGTTACCCGTCTAATGTGTTGAGCAGTTAGAAAAAAAGACAACTCATACTGTAGCCCTGTTCAAATATGCCTTAGGCAGCGGCTGCTTCTGTTTCCTGTAAAATCTGACAAATCAATCATTGGTTTGTAGGGAAGATCTGAAATAATGAGGAATTACATGCCTAAAGTTGGTACTCTTGGCCTTGATATGATGTTCCGGACATGTACTGTGCAGGTGAGCATATTTCTATTTTTTATGTGTGGAGTGCCATTTTCAGAATAACAGTACTCTCCGTTTGAGCTCATCTCAAAAATACTTGAAATCCTATCTATGACATAAGTTGATTCACTAAAGAAGTTAACTGATTTATATTATGATAGTCTTGACAGAAATTCACTCTTCTGTGTCCAGGTTAATCTTGACTTCAGTTCGGAACAGGATATGATAAGGAAATTTCGCGCTGGCCTTGCACTGCAGCCTGTGGGTATTTTTATTGTCTTCTGTGATAATTTTTTGCTGTTCTCAAATCATCCTGGCTTGTTCATTTAACAGATTGCAACTGCAATATTTGCCAATTCTCCCTTTAAAGAAGGAAAACCAAATGGATTTCTCAGCTTAAGGAGGTATTTACTTGATAGCCATTCAGGGCATACATAAGTTAATTTCATTATCTGCAGTTGTTAACACAGTTGACCTTATGTGCAGCCATATCTGGACAGATACTGATAACAACCGTGCAGGGATGCTCCCTTTTGTCTTCGATAACTCATTTGGGTTCGCATTCCTTTTGAAGTCCCCTGTCCTCCACCTTGAGTGCCATTGATTGATTGCATCATTTCCTTTAAATATATTTTCCATGTGAAACAATCCTGATTATAGTTTCTGTTTGGGGGTGCAGGTTTGAGCAATATGTGGATTATGCATTAGATGTTCCAATGTATTTTGTGTATCGAAATAAAAAGTATATTGACTGCACCGGAATGTCGTTTAAGGTCTATTTCTATCCTTGATGTCCTTTTACTTCTGTAGTACTGTACTGTAAAGGTTTTATTATATTTTTTTCACCCTCCATTTACAAGACACAGTGCTTGGTTTTCATTCATAAAACTCATTTGATTTGTATTTATTTTGCAGGATTTTATGCAAGGAAAGCTCCCACAGGCTCCTGGGGAGTTGCCTACTCTTAATGATTGGGAGAACCATCTAACAACAATTTTTCCTGAGGTTTACCCTTTTACCTCTTTACAAAATGGCATATCTGTCATTGCTAGGTATCGCAATAACTCTTGTCCTCTGTATTCTGCTTGCAGGTTAGATTAAAGAGATACCTTGAGATGAGAGGTGCTGATGGTGGCCCATGGAGGAGATTGTGTGCGCTGCCTGCATTCTGGGTGTGTGATCTGCTTTCTTTTGAATTTATTTTGTATTTCTGTGCACTGCCTCTGACAGCCACTAGTTAATATGGATATGGGCTCTCTATGGTATTAGTTTATTTCTAGTTTTTGCTAGAAGTTTGATTCAGATTTCTGCTTTATGCGAGTCTACAGGTTGGGCTGCTGTACGATGAGGAATCGTTACAAAGTATTATAGACATGACTTTTGATTGGACAAAGGAGGAAAGAGAGATGCTAAGACGGAAGGTATATCAAAATAATCGTGCACCATTCTTTCCGCACAATGTTGGTTTTTCTTTTTCCTTTTTTTCCCTTTTTGTTGGTGGCTCATTTTGGGTTTCAACTCTATAGCCTATCCCAACTTGCTTGGGACTAAAAAGATTTTTTGTTGCTTGGCACAACAGAAAATATTCTTGATAGGGAACTAAAGTTTGGTTTGCCTCACAACTACAATTGTCAAATAGAACTTTACCTTATTCTTGTGATTAGAAATTGTCTATTATAGATAAGAATAAAGTCCACCAGATTTTTCAGTTTTGCCGTGTTATATTGGTCAGGTACCGTTGACTGGTTTGAAGACACCATTTCGTGATGGATATGTAAGAGATTTAGCTGAGGAAGTTCTAAAACTGGCCAAGGTTAGTAAATTAGAGTACTTTGCGGTGATTAATTTTTTTTCCCCGAAGTAAGGCAAGTTGATAGAAATGTTTGTCATAATGTTTATGTTGCCCTAACCCCAGAGTGGACTGGAAAGAAGAGGATACAAGGAGGTTGGTTTCCTTAGAGAGGTTGACGAAGTGGTGAGAACAGGTAATGCCATTCAGCTTCCTCTCGTGACTGACCATATTTTAGCTTTGCTGCCACCAATCAACTGTTCTGTTTCTGAAGCTCCTAATTAACTTACCTTGCTACAGGAGTGACACCTGCTGAGAGACTTCTGAATCTGTACGAGACGAAGTGGCAACGCAACGTAGACCATGTTTTCGAGCATTTGTTATACTGATGACTGCCACCAACGCTGGACAGAGCTTGTAGATGTACCCTAATACAAAAACTCATCTTGATTCATTCAACGCCTGAGTCGGAAGGCTCAGTTCAGGCACAGGAGCACGCACTGACGCACAGCTTTTGGTTAGTTGTTGACGGGGGAACCGCTGCACAGCCCGGTGCTGTGCCTACAAATAACTTCGCTTGGAACGGATCACTGTGCTTTGACTTCACCCCCCCTGTGTCTCCAGGGAGATGGAACAAACCACTGCTTGTACCGGCCCTTTTTGTTTTCCTTCAGAGATGAAAATGCCGTATGGAAAATAAGTCCCATCTTCTGTACGATGGGAACTGTTTGTTTTAACCTTCTTTTCTTTCATTCAGGATTGTTGGGATGTTTGTCCGGGGTTAACATGCTAAAGCAATTTCACCGACGATAAATAAACTGATGGTTTGATCCGGAATTTGCAGTTGTGCATGCCCTTTTCTACCTTGTTTCTAACCAAAATCACTATTGGGTGTGCGTGTTTTGCTAACGCACGCAACGCATGGATGAGAGACGGCGGCAATTGAGTTGTCTGTGCCCAAGTGCCCAACTGCCCAACTTAACTTGAAGACGAGCGTTGCTACAGATAGCAACGTCCGTATGCCTATATAGGCCCTGTTCGCTTCTCTTCTAATCTGTCTTTTTTAGTTTATTTTTTTTCAGTCGGAAGAGTGTTTTTCTCTCACAACAAATTAGTCGAAACAGTGTTTTGGCTCGTTTTTTTTACAAAGCGAACGGGGCCATACTAAAGAGCCCTGTTTGTCTAGCACTTGATCCTGCAGGCGCGTCAATTAGGGCATGTCAGTCTCTGTCCTTGATCAGCTGACCTGAGAACGGAACTGAAGAGACATTCGGCCTGTTCGCTTGGTCGTAAACGATCGTAAATTTTCAGCCAGAGCAGTATTTTTCTCTCACACCAAACCAGCCAGCAGTAATAATCCACGATCGTATCAGCACCAGCCGAACAGGCTGATTAGACCCATTCATGGGCCACCCAATCTGATCCGCCTGAAAAAGAAACAGAAACCCGAGCATCCGATCGTCCGGACGCCGCCGTTCGCGGGCCACGACACCAGCCCAACGGTCCAACATTATATCCTCTTATCCATTTGTCCTCTCCAGAAGCCTCTCGTCCACTCCTCTCTTCAGAAGCCTCGTCCACTCGTCCTCTCCAGAAGACTCCGCCGCAGCGCCATGACCACGCTCCGCCGCGACACCTCGGCGTTCTTCACGGTGGCATCTCCACCGCGCCCCAGCGCGGCTGCCCATCTTCCTCCCTCTCCATGGCGCCTCCTGCCCACTGCAGTCGCCCGCCTTTCTCTCTCAACCGCGTCTCCTGCCCATCGCGCGATTTGCTTCTCCACCGGAGCGACCCGCCACGGCCTTCTCCACCGGAGCGGCGAGCTCCGCACCACAGGCGAGCTCTACACCGATGAACTCCACACGCCGACGAGCCTCCATTCACAAGCATTAAGGAGATGTTGCGCTGAAAAAGCATGTTGCAAACATATGTTTTAGATGTTTTAGAGGTATGTTGCAAGTGTTTCGTATCGATGTTGCAAAAGTAGATCGGGATATTGCACATGTTGCAATGGCTATACACGTATGTTTCAAGTGTATGTTCCAAATGTTTTATCTGTATCAGACGTATGTTGCAAAAGTAGATCTGCATGTTGCATATAAGCATGTTGCAAGCGTATTTTTCAAGTATTTCGGGTGTTTCATTTGCCTGCTGCAAATGTTTCATCTGGATGTTGCACATGTTTGTAATGGTTTTCAAGTGTTTTTGCAAGTGTTTCAGACGCATGTTTCAAGTGTTTCATCTGTCTTCTTTTTTATGTTGCAGTGGTTGCATCTGGATGTTTCAAAAGTAGATCGGGGGTTACACAAGGGATGCGCGTGGGAAGTAGCCGGCGCGCGCGGGCGACGTCCGGGGCGGCGCGGGCACGCTGCTGTGGCGCTCGCTCGCAAGCCTGACACACTGAGGTGCTCGCTTGGTCGCTGAGCGGGTACTGTTCGACGCTAGCGTCCCAGATCGGATGTCCGAAACAGAAACATAACTTGACTTACTCGTCAGTGCCGCAATGCGTCAGATTAGTTGGCGCCATGATTTTCGATCCGTGCCCCAACCCAATCGAGACCTAACAAAATCTGAGAAATAGACCGACATGCCGATGCGTCGGGCTGGGCTTGGGCCAAAGTTTTGATCCTGTCATTTTTTTTATCCAATTCGAACCTGACCTGACCCAGCGTTTGATCAGGTTTAGGCATACACGATAATTTTGTTTTGTGTGCTCGATATTTTCCTTGTAGGGGCTATTTGAAATGCAAAAATCATGCAGCAATTCCACACGCACCACATTCCTGTTTGCTACCGTTAGTGAGGAACTAAGTAGTCAAATCGCAGCAGGCCTGCCGTTAGTGAGGAACTGAAACCAAACTTTGAAACGTGTTGGTCACTTGTGATCCGATACGACTGCGTGCGCGACTGCTGCCAACCACGCCACCCTGCACATTGCACCTACTCTATCTTCTTGACACCACTATACACAATGTCCGTATTTTCTCATCCCAAAGCTTCTCCAGCACATCTTGCGATTGCAGAACTTCAACCCTTCACTAAGGGCTTGTTTAAAATATCTCTTTCCTGTATTTTTCTGGCTAGTGTCCAGACGTCCCACGCCTGCTGCGCCTGTATGCCGGCGTGTACACATGTTGCTGCGCCTACCCGCCGACCGCTCCTGCTGCTGTGCCTCCGCACCGCTCCATTTCCCAGTGTATGCACGTGGGGACCGCCTATGGCCGCTTTGCTTTCCGCACGCCGGCGGGGATTGCCTGCGCTCGCTCCAGATCACGCACGCGGGGACCGCCTACGCCTGGGACTGCTTTCCGCACTTGCTCATGAAACACTTGTAACATAAAACACTTCCTGCAACATACGTCTAAAGCAGATAAAACATTTAGAATATAAGCTTGCAACATATGTGTATAGCCACTGCAATATATGCTATATCCAGATAAAACACTTTCAACATACGTCTGAAGTAGATGAAACATTTTGTATAGACACTTGCAACATCGTGTATAGCCATTGCAACATATGCAATATCTAGATTTACTTTTGCAATATTCATATGAAACACTTGCAACATACCTTTGAAACATCTGAAACACTTGACACATACGTTTGCAACATAGCTTTCAGTGCAACATGGGTGGGCGGCGGGGCGAACTTGCACGGTGGAGGCGGAGATGGCCACGGCGGGCGGGGCGCGGGACGGCCAGACAGATATCCGCTTCGTATCATTATCATTTTTCCTACGAAATTGAACTAATTTCTATAAATTTATATGCAAATCATGTGAAATGAGTCTCTTCCACTCCCTCTCTGCCTAACCAGGGTCCGGCCGGTAAAATCTGAGGCCCTATGCTAAACTATAAGATGGAGTATGTCTTCATAAAATTGAACAATAAGTTTCCCGGTTCACTTGTTTTGTTGCTTCCAATTTAGACATTGATTCCTTAAATAATCAAATTCGTTATCTCATATGAACACCTGAACAGAAATAAACTGAGCGCCTGAACGGATAAGACATTAGTCATCAACACAAACAAAAATTGAAAAATAAAGGGAACCTCATTACCTAAATATTTGATGCACAAGGACGTCTTATCCGTTCGGTATAGTCATAACCCTACGACGTGTATCGATGGACAAGGACGTCTGGTCATCCCTCCACACTTTGCACCTATCAAAGTTCGGTATAGTCATATATGCACACTTTGCACCTATTGGAATTTGGTGTGTTCTTCTTCTAGATGTGATGTATCATGTGTTGTGTGGCAGTACCGCCTAATCTATTGCCTCCTAGGAGTACTTGTCTTCCATTAGACACTAAGTACTCAAGGGAGGACATCAAATTACGCAGTTCCGTCGAGCACACCTCAAGGGAGAACCCGAAAATTCATATTTTTCCATTAGGATCACAAATGAGAAAATAAAGCTTATAACATTTTAGCTATTTCTTACATCACTTTTCATGCAACATCGGAGTATAATATTTATTGTTATGACAGCGGAATGTAATCATGTTATCAGAGTTATGGACAATTTAATTTAACAGTGGAATATAAACATGTGATCAGAGTTACAGCGAAAGTAAATATCTATTCCTAATATGATGAAGCATTGATATATAAACTATGACAACAGATTATAAAACTTTCATTTATAAAAATATTTAGTGAGAGTTATAAATAAAACTATGATCGCAGCGTAAAGGAATCCTCTCTGAGCCCACCAGGAGAAATCCACACACAAGGGTCAGCTCTAGCATCCACCTGTCACCTGCAATAGGGGGAAATAAAAATCTGAGTACTCAATTGTACTCAGCAAGACTTACCCGACAGGAGGAAAGAAAAGACTCCAAAGATATGCAAGGCTATCTGGCTTGTGGGTTTATTGCATTTGCAAGAAGCATTACTAAACGTATGTCCTTATATTTGATTTTATTAGCAATAATCATTATTTCATTAACTAACCATTCTATATAAACACATGTGCTACTTTCAAGCATGTGGTAAGCAATCGGATTTCTTTTTACCATCTTTCATCTTTCAGTTCTTACTACGTTGCTAGACTGTAGACGAGCCATACCGGATTGCCCGGCAATTCGCGAATCAATATGCCCAGCTGGGTACCCTAAAACACACACCCCGCTTGTACCCTAGGCACAATCGGGACCAACCCACTATCCTCCTATCACGGGGCGGATCCCGTTCAAGCCCAGGACTCAAGCCCCGTCCACGAGTTAGGACTCGGTCGGTGAAAGGACCTCCACCTAAAAAAACTACACGACAATCGGTCAGGAAAGAGCGGAACCCATAAGAAGAGAGTAGCAAGTCTTTCCTGCGCCCATACACAAGTATGTGTTCAGGATAATAAGTCTATGACCTGCCTAGAACCCAAT